AGGGTGCTCGATCTTCTCCAAGAACATGGGGTGCTTTCCTCAGGCTGAAGCACAAATAGTGGTCTCCCTTAGTCGGCCAAACCAAGGGGACCCCAAGGCATAATCTAGCCCCTCTCCCAATAAGTCTCTCATGCTAGGTTCAAAGGAAAACTTTATTGGTTACAAGGAACAGGTTTGGAATAGGGTACAGAGTAGAGCAATATCAAGAAAATCCCATAATGCAAACTGGCATGGCTGGGTAGCCTTTGATCACACATCTAAGTTTCTGCAAGCTATATATCTAGTTAAATATCAGGTAGCTTACTTACAAGTATCATGCAGAGGCAGGTGGAGATTCCCTCTGGAGGCAGGCAGTTCATTGATCATGAGTTTCAAGAGAGAGAGCAAGTTCCAGATGGTCCAGCTCTTCTCTCTGAGTTCATTATGGCTTCTGCTCTCCTGCTGGGTAGTTCTGAACTTATATAAACCTTATGACCTCATTTACCTGGTCCAATGGAGGCCAGTACCTGTTGGCTGCCAGCCAGCCAATCTGAAATGCATCACTGGTTGCCAGGTAGCCCGGGCAGGGTCTCCAGCCCCCTCTCAGTCTGGTTGGCATTGCTTAAAACGATAGGAAGCGTAAGCCTCTCACCCAGGTATGTGATGCCAGTCACGTAGACAGAGGGAGCAGGTTTCCCCACTCCCTTAGGAATGTATCCAACTCAGGTTACCTAAAGAGATGGGATGTCTGCCCTCTGCAGGGCCCATGTTAACCAAATTGTCACAGAGCAGAGTTTTTTGGGGAGAGACAGAGGTGGCATTCTGCCACACCATCCTCCCATTGAGGTGGCATCCTGCCTTCCAACTCTGAGGGCACATTTATATAAGCACAGAACACAAGACAGCGGACTGCCAGTGCCTCAGATTAACCACTACAAAAGTAGTGTGACCTATACACCCACTGAAAAATAAGCCATGTATAAAATTACACATGCTTCAAGGGCAAAAAAAGTTTCTTTACAATATCTTTGGCCCTAGGAGGAAAGAGTTTGGTGGAATTAGTCATCTCTGGACCCACTGACCTGTAGACCACTATGTTCCTTCCTGCTTGAGGAATACATTTCCTGTTCAGTTCCTGAAAGAGGTTCCTCTGTCTCAAAAAGGATTCTAACTGGACCTCGTTCACTTCCCACCGATGTCAGTGGTAGCAGAATTAGATGCAGAATTAGCAGAAGGCTGGTCCATATCCTGGCTGTTTGTCTGTCAGGACAGATTAAGGTCATATCTCTACAACAAAATGAAGGTGCGATTATGACGTGTCCTAGCACACCTGCTAGCGTACAAGTTGGCAATGGTAACAAGAATAGCAAGGGCATGGTGGTGTGGGTTTTATCATGCTCAAACAGAGAACACAAGCTGGGTCCCTGTATGATTCGCATTTTGTCCACTAACACATGTTAAAGCCTATACTGGCGGGACTAAGCTACTATGTACTACAGTCACACTGTTACAGCTAACAGGGACATCCCAGAGTTACTAACAGGGTAAAATCAGGTATATCCTGACAAAAGTTATACTTACAAGATGAGGTTCCCTTTCAGAGGCTGTCAGGGTAATTATCTATGTTGCTGACCTTCCTGGCCTGCCTCTGGTTCTTGGGCTGGGAGACATCCTGAGGAGGAAACAGTAGCATAGCAAGGAAGTTTGGTGCCCGAGGTAAGCCCGCAGTGGCAGCCCACCCTCACCCCGCACACAGATCCAGGGGGCACATGCCCACCCCATGTTTGGCTGGGAGTGCACTCAGCAGCCGGAGCCACTCTCCTCCCATGTCCCCCTAAAGGAGGCACTTGTGGCTCTGTCCTGCACCCCACCCCAGCTGGGCAGTACCTGGCGGTGCCCCTTTGCTTCAGCACCCAGGCCGCTCGCCCCCCTTGCTATGGTACTGGGAGGAAAAGTCTCCTCCTCAGAATCACGGTCAGTCTCATTGTCAGCGTTGGGTTCCTTGTTGTCAACAGTACTGTGCACAATAAAATGTGATTCATTGGTGGTGCTGCAGGACAAAATTATGTCGATCTTATTACATAAACAGGTGGCTTGCTGATGGTTTGGTATATATTCTTTTCCCAGTGGTTCTTTGTAAGGTTTCCTGAGTCTTTGCCTCTCATCTGAAAGCTAAGAAGATCGAGTATCTCTTCACAGCTCCAGGAAGGTGCATAAGGCATGGAGGAGTGCAATAATGAGTGTTGAAATGCTACAGAGTGAAACTAATGACCTCAGAAAAATGTAAGAGCAAATGGCCCATCCTAGCCACACACCAGCATTTAAACAGGGAGGTGACATCTGGTTAACATGATCCCAGAGCAATTTAGGATACACAGACAAACAGAAGAGTTGCACTGACAGGATGTAAAGAGATGTGAGCTGGTAGCTGGAAGACTGCTAAGTCAGTGTGTATAAATGCATTCACACAGACATTAGTCTGCATGAACTTAATCTGCAGTTAATTTAACACACTTTGAAACAGGGGTAATCAAATATGCATTATTTGGCCAACCGATTTACCCTAAAATATCATATGGACAAAGATTATTTTAATTTGCACAAAAGTTTGGTTAAATTGCATTAAGTCCTCCATATAAACAAGTCATCTGATCAAGCCATAACACTACTTAAAATTAGATGCCATTTCTCACCTCACGTCAGCTGCATCCTTTACTGAATGTTTGTTTTATATTTACATCCCGTATGTTGACACTTCATCATGATTCCAGGTAGCAGTGTGCTTAAAAGACAACATTATACATCAGACTTTTATCAAACATGGCCAATTATGCAAATTCCCCCTAAATTCATTTTTAAAGAAAAGGAAGATTGATTGCAGAGACATACCATTTGCACAGACAGTGATTTAGGAGGGTATTTCAATTGCTAATGTGCCTCACAATGATGTGGGGTTTGTTTGTAAACTTCAGGTCTAGAAAATTGAATTCTCTGTCAACACCAGATAATTATCACATCCTAGCCAAAATTCTAAACTTAATCGAAATATTCTTGGGAGTCAACTGTTGGCGTTAGTCTTAATGAAAGTTTATTATGATGTGGTATGTATGTAAAAAGTGATTACAAGTCAGGCAAATAATAGAAAGCTAAAGTAAGAACAATGCATAATTCCCCAGCATTGCCTGGAATGTAAACTTAAAGTGATGACTGTATTATATTTGATGGACTTTGTGAATTTAATTCCTCAAGCTAACATGTCAAACTCACTCTAAGAAGAGTCTTGGACTCTGTTTAATTAGCCTCTCGGCTAAGATGTGAATTGGGGACTCCATGCTTCCCTCAATCCACAGTGGCTCTGATATCTTTGGGAAGTTCATAGACAGATAGAGAGAGAGTATGGCCTTCACATTACGACTAACGTTTTATTTATTTTTGTTCACAACCTTGCTAGATACAGTGACAAAATACTTGCTGCTCCTTCTGGCCTTTGTTTCTTGCCGTTCTCCTGCCATCTTCCAGTCTGTTTTCTCCCTCTTGTTTGCTTTCCCTGCAGCAACAACCAATTTCCAACACTGCAAAGAATTCATTCCCATATATTTTCCATCTGATAAACTCTAATTCCATTCATAGTATCATAGAATCGTAGAATCAATGAGTCGGAAGGGACCTAGACAGATCATCGAGTCCGACCCCCTGCCATGGGCAGGAAGGAGCACTGGGGGTGGCAGGGGTCATAAGACCCCAGCCAGGTGCCTATCCAGTCTCCTCTTGAAGATTTCCAGGGAAGGTGAGAGCACCACCTCTCTGGGAAGCCTATTCCAGGCTCTGGCCACCCTTACAGTG